AGTTCAATCCCTGGTACCAAAAAAAAAAAAAAAAAACCGCTGGGGATGTAGCTCAGTGTAAAGACTATCGATTCTATCCTCAGTACCAACAAAAGGCATATATATATATACATTTCATGAACTACTCTTAATCAAATGTTTCTCTTTCCTGCTTCAATTCCTCTGTTGATTATTGCAAGACAGTGATGTTCAATCATATTCAATACAAATCCTAGCCCTAATTTTCTACTCTCACAGAGTTAACACCACTCAGAAATCTCTCCACTACTGGAAAGTACTGTCGTTTCTACTATAATCTATTAGGAAGCCTCATATCTCCGGCCTAGGTCTTCTAAAGCTGAACTTTCAATTGTCTATCTTGCTCCAGGCTCTAGGTTCCCCTCCTCTCCCACTTCACACTGCTGTCACAATTGCTTCTGACATTTCCTACCAAAATAATCCGGGGCTCTCAGAATTTGTTTAGCTTTTGACCTTGACGCCTGTTCGGCAATTTACAAGTTACAAAGTATCTACTTCTGATCTTCACCTCAACCCACTGAAGGTGGTAAACCACAAACTGCTACCCTGGTTTTAATAGTAAGGAACGAAGGGGGTCGGGCCAGCTTCAACCAAGGTCACACAGCGAGTCCTCTCTGGTGAAACGAATCCTCTTCTCAGGGTCGCATCGAGCGGGGTCCTCTTCCACATCCTACCGTCCGTCCCTTCCCTGCCAGTCGGCCGAGCCCTCGAGGCTCTGAACGGGCCAGGGCCATACCAGTGCCGCCGCACAGTCGGCAGATCCCCCTAGTGCTCCTCTCCTGAGCGACAGATGTCAGGCCACCCTATCTGGGTCAGAGACACCCCTTCTGGCCGGCCCTTACCCCAGCCAAAAACAGTGGGCCTGGCTTGGGGGCCAGAACCATAGCTCCTGATTGAGCGGGGCAGGGCGGGTTGGGTGCTCACCAATGCGACCCTCGTTGAAGCGTGGTCCTCAGCAAGGCGCCGAGCTCGGACTTCTGGGTCTCCACATCCGGTCGCTCACTGCAACCCCGGCCTTCCGCCATCTCGTCCGCTGTCCTAGCCCAGCCGGCCCGGAAATCCGCTGCGCCGACTGCGTGCTAGGAGCCGCGCCCTCGCACGTATGAAACGCACACACGCGCACGCACGCACGCATACGGCGTCGTGAGCGCGCCCATTGGTCCGATCCGCGGCTGCGCTTGCTGCCAGCCTCTGCCCTTCTCCCCGCCCCCACGCGCAGCCTCCCGGCCAGTTTACAGTAGAACGCAGGGGCCCGCAGAACGGCGCTGGGAGTAGGGAAGCGGCCGCCGCTTCCTGCCGCCCACACCGTGAGCGCTTCCCGCAGCCTGCCGGTGCTCAGAGTGGCAACCGCGAAGAGCTCCGAGGCCTGCCTAGCCCGCGATCTCAGGGGGGTCTGACCGCAGGCCCTTCAGCCCCTCAGGCACTCCATCCGGTCCTGCACAAAGGCAGGGCGCGAAGTCTTAGAACTCGCTTTTTCTCCTCTTCATTCTTTGTCATTCCACTTTCAGGTGGAGGCCTTAGGCTAATCCTTAGCTGCCCAAACTTGAGATCGAATGCCTAGTAATCTTGGGTGGACCCTGCGTAGTTGTGACTGAGGCAGTCAGGCTCCCCTGCACTGGAAGCCGCGTTCTTGGTGGTGGTGGTGGTGAGGGGACCAGAGCCACTCGTTGAGAGGGAGCCAGGCAGATGTCTTTATACTAAGTACACAGGCATCTGGATTTGTTCCTGGAACAAGAAACAATGTGCTGAACACTAGGATTTTCACTAGATCCTGAATACATGAACACACAGGCCTCCTCCTGGAGGGAAAAGTCAGCCTAGAGCAAGGAGGCAGCCGGGTAACTAGCATAAGTGAGTCTCTCTTGTTTTGTTTTTTGAGACAGGGTCTCACTAGACAGTTCAGGCTGTCCTTAACTCGCTATGTAGCCCAGGCTGGCCTCGAACTCGAAGTGATCCTCCTGCCTCAGCCTCCTGAGTGCTGGGATTATAGGCATGCACTGTTGTGCCCAGATTGTGAAGTCCCAGAGACCACCAGGAGGCCGTTTCCGATGTAAGCACACAAGGGTCGTTTATTCAAGCTTAAGCAGGGACTCTCAACTGTCACCGACACAGCGGATCGAGATTGAGAG